TCTTAGCTGTTAGCAGCGAATGGGTTCAAGTCCGCTAATGGAAGAAAAGTAGCTGTCCGTTTAGGATAAATCATCAATTATTCCGGCATAATGGGATTTTTTCTGATCCAATGATGAACTGGAGATCAACCAGGAGTCTGTCACAAACACTGACCTGGAAGTGTGCACTTCAAATCTGTGTCACCTGCACGTGTGTGAGCTTGTGTGTGTGTGTGTGTGTGTGCGCTCTGGCTGATGGAGCTGCACAGTCTGTTCCTCGGGCTCTGGGGGTCCGCTGATGTGTCTATCACTGACAGAACGAGACTATGGATTACCTCGCTCATTAATCACCATCAACGTGGCAGCCTGCAGCCACTCGCACGGGCCTCCGTGTCGCACGCGCGCACCAACGTGAGCTCACACAAGCAAGCGCTCGCGCGCACACGCACGCCGATTAATCTCTCCGCGCACGGGCAGAGCAGTTGTGACAGCTACTGGCCACCAACCTGTCCGCACGCTAATCTCATTACGGCCCTTCTGGCATCTGGGCCGGTTCTGCTGAGGGCCGGCCTCTGATGGAGTGAAGAAGACAAGGCGTTCAAGCGTATAATAGACGTCTAAATCATCCGGCCTCAGCCAGCGGGTCCTCTTGCTTGTGACGCTCTGGAGGTATGCAGGGGAAACCATCTGAAACGCACACGATGAGGGGCGACGGAGGGAGAGAAAAAGAAAAGCAGATCTTGGATTTGTGCAATTCTGCGAAGTCTCGCCGGTCAAACAAGGCAGCGACCACATGGCGACGGTATTAAAACGTAGCAGTGGTTGGCGGTGGCACGGTGACATCACACCTGTCTGCCTCGCTGCAGTCTGCCGCAGGCCTTACCTGTCCTGTCTGGTCCTGGAGTGCAGCGTTGTACCTGTCAGTGTTGTGCAGATGGGGCTCCAGGTCCCCAAGGTACCTGGGCTAAATACCCGTCATTAATCACCACATAAAGCCTCCCCAGCGGGAGATGCCCCAGGTTAGACCACATCAAGAAATAAATTGGCTGAAAAATGGCTCCGGACGAAAGCTCGGTCCCTGGAGAGGAGAGAGGGATCCGAAAGCAGCCTTCTGAAGCTCGCTAAGTGATCTGTCAGCGGGCTAAGCGACATCATCATTCACTTGGCCCCTATCGTGTTCCCGCGGTGCTGACAATCTCAGCTGTTTGCTTTCAGATTTGTACAAATTCATCTTCTTTGTTTTACAAAGTGGCTCCGCTCCGACGGACGGCTGGGCTTGGAGTGTCGGAGCCTTTAGGACCAAGAAACATTCAGGAGAGATAGGAAGATGGACGCGAGAGCATCCGGAGAGAAAACGCAGACGGAAAAAAAGATGGCGGAATAGTAATAGGACAGGAAGTTCCCATCATTATTTAAGCTCCAGGTCTTTTGGTCTATACTGGTTTATTCGCTTGGTGAACTTTTTTTCTGACATGGGCCTCTTTTGACAACCTTAACACTGTTATTCTCTAAAAGGATCCACATTAATCTCTCTGTGACCCACCTGGAGGTCACGACCAAATCTTAGAACAACTTAGGGCTCACACTGATTTAGGGGTCGATAACATCAGAAAAGCTAAACTGGGACACTGACCTGTACAACACAGGGTCCTATCAACAGAGGAAATACCTGTCCTCTCTAAGCAGTTCAAACAATCAAATATCCACACAAGATGTTTGATCCCTGAAGATGCACGAAAATGGCCATAAAAGGATGGATAAGGTCAAGGACGTGTTGGAGTCCAGTGGCCCAGACCTGTCCACCTGTCCAATGATGCTGCTCAGTCCCATGATTAATGACCACTGGACCACTTCTCACTAGAGACGTTCTGCAGCACCTCGGGGCCCCCGTGAGACTCCGATAGCGTACGGATCTCCTACAATATCCGACGGATTAAACACGATGGGATTCAGAGCTAAAGTGTTACCATGTTCTTCTTCAACTAACGGTTCCAGTGTTTTAATGCCTGTCTGAGTGTATGTTTTTGTTGAAGGTGACACTTTATATTGGCAGATTTGACTTTTTACCACATTTATGAAGGAAATATTATTCTTTTTATAGCGCTACATTTATCACATCTATATTCTTGAAAAATGATAAATGAAAAAAGGTAATCAACTCTCAAAGAATTGTCGTGCAGGAACCAGCTACATATTATCATGTTTAAAGACAGACTTTTTCCAATACATCTTAAGAAAGACGTGATTGATATTTCCTCACACAGTTGTGGTTGGTTGAGTGGGGGTCAGGTGACTGGAGCAGGTGAGGAACACGAGGGAGGGGCTGCAGGCAAACACGTCGAGACAAAAAAAGCATCAGAGTTACAGAGTTACAAAGTTACCATTTTCTAAAAACCAAACCATTAGCAGTTCAATTTAAAACATGTTTAGTCCCAGCACAACTCTTATACTGTCAGAGGTTAATAAACACATTAACAAGAGCCCCCATAGAGGATACATACTAAAGACCCTCCACACATTTCTGTAGCTTATTGCATTTTGGTGTCGGATTTTTAAAAAGAGGTGAAAACCTTTTATTTCAAGCTGGTCATTATCGTAGTTAAATTAAATCAATCTTGTTATTCTCTGAACTCCATAAATACACAATAATTGACGATAGAAATTAAAACATGCATATAGATTAAAGCACCATTCTCTGACATAGATCACAGTAACTCACGGCTGAAACCTTTACCTCCACATCACGCTTAACACACTCTCTAAAGGCTCTGCAGAGGACCACAGGCCATTATGTATCGTAAAGGGAAGGGCATGGTGAGCGGCCAGGTTATTCTCCTCTATTCTTCTTATTCTTCCCTCACCAGAGCGGTCGCTGTCAGTAGGAGACGGCGGGACAATGGAGGTGATCTCTCTGATCTCAGAGCTCCTATTGTGGCCCAGTCATATTATTAATGTTCGTCTGTGAGAAAAGCCACGGCCTCTGCGTCGCTCTGTCATTTTCTCTCTGCTGGACTCTCTCTCTTCTCTCCGTTGGACTTTCATCTCCTCGCAGCTCCGCCGTCGCCATGCTGTATCTAGCGAAGGAAATTAAAGACTTTATCCGGGTCAGTTCCTGGAGAAACATTCTTCTGTCCAAGACACATCCATCAGCTGTTTGCAAGGCAAATATTTGACAAATCAGGCACACTGATACCAACAATGATCTGTAGAAATGTACAGTTTTCTCTAAATACCTTTGCCCACAAACCTTCATTCAGACATACCCACTCATTCCCTGCAAACGTCTTTGTACTCCCACAATTGTGCACAAAACGGGGACACTGAAGGTGTTTCAAAAGACACAAGCGAGAGAAGCCGCGGTAGCTGTCGTTCATTTATCAGCGGTGCCGTGGGCTGCATACATGCCTTGCTGTGCCGCGCTTGGGGTCAGGCTTCCGTCACTGTGTGCTGGGAGTAATTATTAACCCACTGGGATTGTCCCGCGGTCCTCTGGTCATCTGGGACTGCTGAGTGCCAATCTGCAAAGGTCATGACAAGGCAACACGGCGATGGAGAAGGAGCTGGACGGGGAGACACATGAGAGAGACAGACGGATGAACTCAAATCCAAACAGGGAAATTAGACCACTTTCCTGAGAAGAGACGTAAATCATTACGTCTTCTGTATGCTTGTAGAGTATGTGCTCGGTAACAAAAGTAGAGTAATAAGTTGTGAAAGTAAATTTGCAGTAAGTAACACTTTTAGCTTTTCACCATAGAGGGATAAGAGGGCTTCTCTTCAGTCAATATGTCCACTAATTACCCCACATCCGCGTGACTCTTTTGTTGTTTTCAGTCACACGCACCAACTTGCTGTAAATTAAAAAAGTGGCTAAAATATTTCCCTACAAATGCCCCATTTATTCCTGTTTGATTAAAGTATGCAAACATATTGGACATATTATTTAGCCTTTTTCAAGAATTAATTATTTTGGAACAGGGCTTTTTTTCTTATCTTTATTCAAGGGTTGGGTTTTTGAATTTGACAGCGTGACTCATTGATTTCACTCTCTCATTTTGACAACTATTTTTGTTAATTTTTCTGACAAAAACTAAATTACAGACTATCCTTTACGCATTAATACAAGCAGGGGGAGACATCTTTCCTCAGACTAGCGCAATGAAATGTGTTTGTGTGATCAGAATGTGATCAGCTAAGTGATTTTGAATTGTGCTGATCTAAGAAGAAATTGAATGTTGTCAATGGAAAATGATGACTATCTAATATTGTTTTAACGACATAACAATTGAGAATATAATCTATTGATTAATTGATCATGAGCAGATTACTAAATGATTACAACACCATTTTAATGTTTAAAATGCAAAGAATTAACCATCTAAAAAGTTTTGTCCTTCATTACATTAACATATTAATGTTTACTTTACCAAATATTAAAACAATGTCATTCGGTTTGTGGTGAACTTAATCTTTTCCACACTAATGCTCGTCCCTGAACCCCCTACGTGCACGTAACCTGGGAAAAAAGGGCTTTTTTTAGTTTTAAATGATGGGAGCTGGAGCAGAGTGCGGACGTTCTCTACATAAAACCCACCACCTCAAGCTGAAGGTAATTTATGTTGCTGCTGCGGCATTGTTGCCCTACAGAGCCCATTGTGAGGCCGTGCACAGCACATCTTCTAAAGATGTTTGCGTTTTGTGGGGTGTAAATTGTGCTGTCGGCCCGAGGTCCAGCTCTATATCATATTCGGCTGGCCTGTCGGTGCCAGTGGGAGAGGGTGAATGGCCCGGCCACAAGCGGGTGGTCTGACACGGAAAGGTTAAATATGGTTCAGCCACGGACGCTCTTAAAGAGCCGTGCTGTTAAAAAAATAAGTTATGTGGGTTCTACGTCTTCGTGCAGTCGGGAAATTGACAATACTGGCGCAGTAAAGGCAGTGAGGCTGTCCCGGGCCTGAACTTCATGCTTGACCGTCCAATTGGAGAAAAAAATGTCACAACATCACTTGTTTCTGGTGGGATTTATTGACGACTCATCAATGAGATGTGAGTAAAATAAACACAATGACCATGCGTGTATAATTCTTGTATTCATCCTGGAGTCCTTTGAACTCAAAACTCTTCAGTGACAAGAAAATAGAGGTAAACAAAGATGCTGCAGTTACTGGAAATAAATGGTTAAAACATTGACAGAGTACAAGCATTAGGTGCCTTTGATAGTAGAATAAATACAGGATTATGGCCCTGCACACACACTACTATCGTGATCTATTGCTCTCCTTGTATGGCTAATTGATCATATATGTTGGCTTTATGTTAAAGAATAAGTTGATTCAAATTACAGAAAAGCATATCGTTGCATAGCCTTATTTCATAGGCGAGGTTAATTCAAGTTCAACCCTTCTAACTAATCCTACTGATCGGCACTGAGACGGAGTGCAGAACCAAAGATTTTGGACAGTGATTGAGGCCGGTTTCCACCAGTGTGAGAAAAGAATCGCTGGCGGGGAGTGAAAACTTTATTCTTTTATCTCCCAGACGCAGGTCAGCGCCAAGTTGCTCATCTTCTCCTTCAGCACCTTGTCAAAATGTTCATTCTGGGCCACGGTGAATAAATTCTTCCAGTCACCTGCCACACCTGTTCAGACATGGGGATACACGGAGATGTACCTGACTGTGTTTTGCTTTGTTGTCCGTAAATGATATTAAAAGTGGAAACAAACCTTTACGCATGGTTTCCCCCTTGTAGCGGCCGGTCTCCACCAAGTCCTTGTAGTTGGCTTTGGGGTTGGTCTTCATGCTTTTGAAGGTGGACGCCTCCACAACACGATCAACGGCTTCATCTGTCAAATCTTTTTCCAGGAAAGCACAAAGTTTCACAACCTCCCCTCTGAGGTCCTGCCAATCACAGACGTGTATGAAATAAGTGTAGAATCTTTGACATTGTGTCGAAAACAGAAAAGCCCTTAAATCTGCCACTGGAACATCACTTTTTGTGGCGTTACCTCATGGCTGTCAAATGTTCCATAAAGGAAATACAATAGAATAGACAATAGAAGATTCCCAACCTTCAGCATGCTCTCATACTGCACAAAATGGATGTTCAGTTGGTCTTGTGCTTTGTGATAATCTTGGATGTGATCAAACCACGAGCCCATGTAAACTGTTGGAGAAAAGATTTGTTTCAGCGCTGAAAACAAAAACACTGATACTAGCTGGTATTGAATGAGGTGCATTTCTTTTCTAAAAGTTAACTAAATACTACCTACTTTACAAAAATAAAGTGAGATGCACCGACAGATGTTTCATTTGAAAAGTAAATGACCTTGTTTCAATCTAAAAATAAAATCGGAGGATCCTGCACGGACAGATTAAAAAACAGAAGTGTTTGGTTTTCCGTTCTGTATTTTTCCTCTGATACACTTAAGTGACCCCATAAAATACTGAACTTACCGTCACCATCCAGGAATTGCTGAAAGAAACCCTCAAAGCTCTGAGGTGTTTCCAGCAACACCCAAACGTGGGAAAAGTGATAGAGCGACACCAGGATATCCTTCGGGTTCCTCCAAACATACACGACCTAAAGCAAAAAAACATACGTATTCAGTAAATTTGGCTGTAAACGAATGCCCGAATCAGTGCTTGAATATTGTATAATGTAAATGACCTTGATTCGATTAGCTTTCACTCCCCGAGGTAACATGTCAGGGGGGAGATGCGAGCCAAAGATCCGAGGATCTGGCCTTTCTCTGGAAGGGTTGTCCACGGATCTCTCCTCCAGCCAAGGAACATGTGTCCTGTTGGTAGCATCTTCTGCCCACCCTAGGTGAGCAGCATCCATGATCTGGACCAGGATCTGCTGCATCCATGCTGTCCCTGCACACTCAAATTAAATGTAGGATGCTTTAAGTTTACAGAAAAGGCCAACATTGTGAAGAATTATTATTATTATTATTTAGGGCTGTCAACATAAACACATTAATCTGTCCGAGTTGAATGCAACAAAATATTTTAACGTAGTTAACGTACATTCGTTTACCTCCGGTTTCCCGTCCCGGAAGTTGACCACGGAAACGAAACGGCCGCTAGCTGCAGTCAGTTACATTAAGACCGAGAGAGCTTTTTGCAGTGGAAGTAAAATAAAAACAGTGCTGCAACATACAGCAGAGAACTGTACAGAGAAATTACTCCACGTGTCACACAGAAGGGGGGTGAGCGGCAAACGCACCACTTAAAGCACTGCTATGCTAAGCTAGCTGCTAACGTTACCCTGCGTAGCACACAGTCTGCAGAGGACCACCACTGTGTGCATAAAAGACGTGGTTTGAAAACGTTCTGGCTAAATGTGGCGAGACAAACATTCATTATAAACATAATTGTTTGTCGTCATTAATCGCCATTAATCGTGATTAATGAATTTCAAAATGTGCGATTGCTACAATTTACTTGAAGAACTAGATTTAAAATCCTTTTAAATGTAAATGACCATTGTAAACATCCAAATCAAGACTACATCAAATGTTTATACAGTCACCTGTACATCGAAGTGTGTGTGTGTCTCTCGGTCAATGCGTGAGGCTTGAGAAGCCTGCAATGAGTTAATTATTTTAGAAAGCGTAGCAGGCAGGTCCGCGTGGATCTCTGCTGGCCGACCGTCTGCCGAACAGGCCTGAGCTGTTAAACTAGTCTTAGTCTCCAAGCACGTCTTCCACCGGCGGCGCTTAACTCTCTGAGGTGGATTCAGCCTTGCGAGCTGAAAAGTGCACACTCACGTCGTACACATACTACCTCAAATGCAAAACCATCCCAAAAATAAAGTTGCACCAATTGCGCCAATATCGAGCTCTGTTTATAACGCCTAGTTTATAATCGGGACAGAATTTGCGCATGCATGGTTGATCTGACTTCAACTTTTCTCATTGGAAAAAAAAAGTTCTGCTGGAAGCTGTGGTCAATTTAACTTTATCCAAAGGAGAAAATAAGTACAAATTACGTACACAGGGATTTACAAATTTTGTTCATCTTAATCTTAACATATTCATCTGGGTTTATTTGCTATACATGAATAATTTATTATATGCTGGGAAACAGTTTAGTGCTAAAAAGCTGTATAAGTAGTGACCTGACGACTGACCTGACTTTGGGTACGTGACCAGGAAGATGTCAGTTGGACGGGTTTCAAAATGATGCAGAGCATCAAGGTCCGCAGGTCGCATTTTGTCCTTAACCAGAAAGTTCCTTCTTCTGTGCTTGAACAGGTACGGACTCACTAGATCCAGAGAATCCATGGATGCTATAAGTAAACGTAAAGGAGATTAAATTCCTATAATTATACATGAAATCCCATGTTAAATATATTTTCATACTACCTTCGCTACAGCAGGTGAAACCCTTCAATAGATACTTGGAGAAATCCACTGCTGCCTTTCTTGCACTGAAACCAAACTGTAATTTTCTAGGTCATGTACATTTCATCATGATGTCATCATCCGTTTCTGAACTTGTTAGTCTTGTTCTGAACAGGACCAAACAAGATGCAGATATTTTACGAACCAGTTGTGGTGGGGAAGGAGATTGAACTGTTGTTCAACAAGTAACTTTGTTGTGCTGCATTATCTTATAAGATGTAAGATATTCGCTGGTGTGAATAATGTCTGTGCATGTGCCAGGTGATTAGTATTTGAGATGAGGGATTTTTGCCTCTGAAATATAGTAGTCAAAGACAGTGATTGAATTTTCCATAGTGGACCAGGATAGGAGTGTGTGTGTGTGTGTGTGTGTGTGTGTGTGTGTGTGTGTGTGTGTGTGTGTGTGTGTGTGTGTGTGTGTGTGTGTGTGTGTGTGTCCGTCCAGCTTAGAGGGGTCCACAGGATGTGAAGTAGCTTCAAAGCCCGGGAAGGAGGGCCCTGCCCCCCCCACTGCAGCCTTGTTCACATGGGAATCAATCTGGTGCGAGTGTTTGATGTGAACCGCCAATAAAAGAAATGAAACAAAGAAGGACAGCGGGGAGACGCGGCGTGGACGGACAGGGAGATTAATGGCTAAGCCCGATTTATAAAAAAAGGCCGAGGCATGAAGAGCTCTGAGGATACCTGACGGGCCGAAGCAAAGACGTGCGAAGAGGAGCATTGGAGGCGACGAAAGGTGACACGATAACGCGCTGGGGAGTGAGTCTGAAAGGGGAGGCGAACCAAATCAAACCAACTGATTGACAGGAACGTGCACGTGGGAGGACAAAGTGGAAAAGGAGGGCGGTGCCTCAGTCAGACGCGGTCCGTCATTTTGTCGGCCGTCGAAGATTCAAAGCCGGTGGACGCGAGGCCGGCCGCGTCTCTGTGACGCCCAGCGACTCGCATCAGCACCACAATGCAAACTGCAGTATCATCGTCGACACCACCATTGATACAAATCGTATTGGGTTCGGACTGAAGGATTCAGTCGCCTGGAAGGTGCAGGTTACCTCTACACGGACTGTTTTCACATCGACGCTCGGTGCTGACGTGGTAAATGAGAAGCACCCCCCCGTCTATCAGTCGGTCGTCATGCTCAACATGGGGCAGTGTAGGAATGTAGTTGTATTTGTAAGTTGAACAGAAAAGTCGGGGCTCTGTTACCTCAAGCCGCACGGGCACAATGAGACTGGGGGGGACAGCAGCTTTTGGACATTTTCTTGTTTTGATTATTTCAGTGGAAACAGGCTCCCGACATTGTTGTTCTTTCTGCTAATTAAGCTGTTAGGGAGAGGGGCTGGTCTGACAGGGCCCTGCTTGGCGGGGAGGCAAAGAGTCAATGGGCCGAAGCCGAACAGGAGACATTTGTGGGCTGCCATAAGCCTTTGTTTCCCCCCGCCGAGGATCTTTTCAGGCCGGCCGCCTCTGTCTCGGTGACCTGTACAATGAGAAGAATGCCACTCCGAGAACCCAGCGCCGGTCACAAAGAGCAGCCCCGCCAAATGAGGATTTCACGGCACTGGGCCGAATCCGGACGCTGCCAAGATTCCACGGATGGTTCTCGCTCCTTCTGATCATCGGACGACCGTGGCAACCGCGCGCGCGTGTTTATCTGACGAAGGTGGACGGATGCATTGAACGTACAGGTTTTGCACGCATTCAATGACACATTTCAACAAATGGATGCAGTTTTGCGAAAGTCTTCCACGATGACGCAGCTGAGACAAACTTCACATGAAATAACCTCCAAACGCAAAAAAGTTTCTTTTCCATCAAAGTATTTCCCTTCGAAGAAATAAAAATGATATAATTATATCGGGTGTTTTAATCAACGTTTCCAGAACGGCCTCTCCGAGTTTGTCCCGCAGCAGTTGTTTGAGCCACCTGTTCCTGTCACAGAAGCTGTCACCCAGCCTTGCAGATTAAACAGGTGAGATTAAGGCAAAGCTCTGGGCAGCTTGCAGAACATCCCCTAACACGGGCTACAAACACCCCTTCTGCGACTGTGTGTCCGTGCGTAAGTGTGCACGCTCTGTCCCATTTGATGGCCATCCAAGCGTCTCTGCGTGTTTACTTGGACTGCGGATCCCTCCGCTCTCGCGGAGTCGCACGGCTCCATCGCTGGCCCGGAAATGAATTTGTGATCTGTTTCGTTTCGCGGGAAACTTTCTTCTTCTCCCCCCCCCCCCCGCATTCTTCAAAACAAACCATTTGTGTGTCAACACCACCTGCTTATGTGTTATCAGTGTGCCAGCTTCTGCTCCTTTAGCGACTGCCACGTGTTGTCGTAATGTAAGTCACATTCACCACAAAGTGTCAAACAGCACTTTCAAATCGGCCAGCACCTCGCACCACAAAGCCGCCCAATTATAGAGCCATTTATGTATTTGTCAGGGGCTTCAAATGGGCACTGGTTCCTCGGGGTAGCCATATTGGCGAGGTCATGCGAAGCATCTGAAAAAGGCAGCTTCATTACAGAACGAGCCATCCCTCCCTTAGATGAACACCCAAGAAAAATAAATTAAAAAATGCCCCCCCCCCACCCCCCCCAAAAAAAAAGAAAACGGGAAGAAATTCAAAATGACAACTTTGTTCTTTACAACGGTTTGGCCGAGCCGGCCTGTCTGGCTGCTCTGCGGAGCGCAGCAGCATGTGTTTCAGGGATTGTTCTGGAAGCGGGAGTGCAGAAACAGCAGGGAGCAGAAGACAAACAGGCAATTCGTGACTCATTAAACACGGCGACGGAGGCCAGCGCAGCGGTGGGGTGTGAGGACCCGCGTTCCAACCGGCCGATAAACACCCCACCCCGCACCCTCCCGTACCAGCTGGAGCAGGCATCTGTCAGCCGCACGACGCCACGCCGGCGATTACCAGCAAAGAGCTGCGCGGCGCGGCCCGGCCGGGCCACGGCCCGTTTTCCGATTGCACCTCCGCTTCCGCAGCGGCGCCGATTGGCTCGCGAAGGAACCCCGCGGGTGCACCGAGGGGGACAACGTTGGCGTTGGGAAGTTGCTGCAGGCGGGACCGGAGGTCAGCGCGGGTCATTTCTCTGGTCATTTCATTATGAGCAGCAGGTCGACGGTTCTGCTGACGCAGCCCATAACCACAAAGAAGAGCAAAGGACACCAAACCCAGAATAGCCGCCCGCTCCCAGGACAAGAGCCGGGGTCCAGGTAATTTCCACTTGAAACCTGTGACACGTCCAACGTGCCAAAGAGCTGCTCGGCCATTTTGTTTGGATCTGACCTTGAGGAACTGCTCAAGAAGTGCAAAAGAATGTCTTAGTACACTGGAAATGCACTGAAACCCACAGACTTTGTCTTTGTCATCTGTGTCTGTGCCAACCACAATATAATATATGAGAAGGCTGCTCACTCCTGAGCTACTGAATCATTTGCTCCGGAGAAACGCATAAGTCTAATTTGTTTACCTCCTTTCCCAATCGGGCAAGTGGGTTTCCTCGTTTTACAAAAGCCGGCGTGACCGCTACAAGCAGGACTTATTGCTGAGCCCTTGTTAGTGAACATAGTGCCGCACTTAGCTGCTAATGAGCCGGATATTTCCCACTGGACTTGTTGTGGACAAAAAGCCGAATGAGACTGAGTATAGTGCATTTATTTATTTATAATGCATTCATTTACTGCTAACGTCATTTCTTGTCTGCTGAATGCGGGAATTTTGCCCAAAACTTAAAAGATGATAATAGTAAGAGTCGTGTTCACAGCATATTTCTGCTTATGTCCTGTTTGATTATTGCTCAATTCTGGCGTGCTATAGAAAAGACTCCATTTTAATAAGTATTCATTCCTCCATCTGTCTCAATAAGAAGCAAAACAATGTCAGAGGAGAACATTCTCCCTGGAAGAAAACGATGTGATAAAACAACAAAGATGGCATAACTCAATAGTAACTTATGAGGACGTGAGGTGATCAACATCCGGCGTCGCCTGGAAAAGCTCAACATCAGCACAACTTTGCAACGAGGTAAAAGTTTGCTCTCGATAGAATTTAACGAGCTTCTAACGGCCTAATTAAACGCCGAGAGCAGATAAAAGCATGAAATATAGATAAGACGCCGCCTCCATCTTTACGCGCCGTGCTGGGGAAGACGGGGACGTCTCCTAAAGCCACGAACCAGCGGAGCAGCTGAGCCGGGCGGCGTCCTCCGCCCGGTCGTGAATTTTTTATAAGAACGAGAGAGAGACTAAACACGTAAAAAGCGTCCCGGTGAAAAGGTCGCGCCACTGTGATACTTCAGAAGCCCGCGGCACTTCCTGGGACTGAGGGATTGGGGCTTTAACAGCGCTGGAGGTGGGACAGAAGGGGCCCCTCCCTCTCCTGGCCGGGGCGAGCCGGGGTTGTAATTGTGACTCTTTACGACTCCCTCTCCTCATTTCTCCGGAATATGAAAACATCAGCATATGGCCGCCAACAGCACCGGGGCTAAGGAGTCAATTTCCCCCAAGTAACATTGGGACGGGGGTGACATTCATTTTCTGTCGGGGGAAAAAAAAAAGGGGAGGACAGAGGAGGGAAAGACAGGGAGACCAGGCCACAGAGCGAGAGGAGACAGATGGTGAGACGCACAAGGACAGAGGAAGAGAAAGAAAGAGAGAAACAGAGATAGTTTGACTCTCATTTTCCTGCGTCTCAGTGTGTTCAGCGTGCAGTTCACAGAGTTTCATGTGGCTACCAGGGACAGAAAATCTGTCCGTCAGCTGCCAAAGGTTCCAGCTCCGCTCCGTTCCTCTGAGCGCTCTTAAAAACCCGCTGTTTCACACCCATGAATTACACTATTTATGGCCGCGGTTAAAATGGGCAGTTTCTGGGCATGCTGCATGTGTGCGCCTCAGTTTCAGTGTGTGTGTGTGTGTGTCTGTGTGTGCGTGTGCCATGTGGCAGATGGGAAGCAATATGGCGCACCTCTGCCCGGACAGATGTGGCACAGAAACATCTCAGTGAGCTGGGAGCGGCAGCGGAAACCTCAGGAACATCTGGACCTGTGGCCACCTTCAACCCTCAGCCCACCGGCCGTCTTCCCCTGGCTGCTAAGGACCTGGAAGGAGAGGAGAGGAGGAGGAAACACGGGCCAGTAGCACCTCAGCATCCTTGACGCCGCGTCCTCGTCTTCGCAGCATTTTGAGAGACGGACGAGGAATCCCACCTCCCTCAGTGAGGGCTGTCAATCAATTGCTCGGCGGAGTGGAGCGCTGACGCCTGTCCCAACATGGGCCGGTCGTGGCCCGCTGCACAAGAGCACATTCCCACCACTCAGGGGGCCGCCCAGCTTCTACAAGGGTTTGGGTAGCGGGAAATGGAGCGGGGGGGAGGACCAGGAGACACAGTTGTACTATAGAGCTTCCTGGGGAAGATGGCGGAAGACGAGTGTATACCTGCTCCTGTGACGGGGGGGGAATTTGCAGTGGCCGGGAATCGAACCCAGGCGTGGCAGAAGAGAAACACCGACGCGGTTTAGTTTAGTGTCAATAGAGTGTGTTATTGGAATTTTGAATGGCAGATCAGTTTATTATATTATTATATGGCAACTTAATTACCATAAAATGTGAAAATGCAAAGTTTGTAAAGCTACAAGATTTGAATACAAGAGTACGTGGTTAAGTCATTTTAAAGACAAGTTCCCCTCCTGCCAACGCTGTGATGAAATGAAAGACGAGTATTTAGTGCACTGTGTTTGACAGATTAGTCAACATTAGGCAGATCGTAATAAAAAAAAACTCAAGCTCAATTAGACGAACAATTTCACACTGCAGCAGACAAATTATAACAAAGTCACTTTCTAGGAAGAAGCAAACAATTACATTTTGTCTGTTGTTTGCTGTAACGTTCAGGACTCGCAGACGGGACAGCAGGTCAACAAGTACGTATGTATCGTCGCATTACTTTACAAACTGTAATATTAGTATTGT